ATACCTAATACAATGCAAATACTATGTAAATAGTTGCCAATGTGCAGCAAATTCAAATTTTGCCTTTTGTAACTTTCTGGAATTTCCCCCACCGGAATATTTTTGATCTGTGGTTGGTTGAATTTGGGGATGCAGAGCCCACGGAACCTGCAAATTACACAGGGCCAACTGCATAAACAAGACTATGTTGCAAACCTTGTAAGAGACTCATTAAGAGCAAAAATTATCAATGTAGACTGTCTTTCCCAAAATTCCTGCACTAAACCCAGGTTTCTGAAAGGCATTTAGCATAAATTTTTCCTTTTAAGCAAGGATAAGAAGAACTAAGAACAATGGCAATCAGGAGTAGAACCTAGGGAGGCAAAGCATGTGACTAGAAAATGAACTGAGGCTGCCTCATGCCCCCTGCCTCATGGGCCCCCTTACCAACTCCCACTCTTGGCTATAGGGCTGCACAGAGAGGATGTTCTCAATCCATCCTGGAGTGGCCATGTCCAAATAGTAAATGTCATACACATAGTTGTCCTTCTGTTCCTCCTGGTACCCAACTCTTGGTCCATCTTCAGATAAAGTCAACCGCTCACGGATCAACTCTACAGAATTGCAGAGGATCACATCTGGGTCAGATGTCTGTAAAGAGAACAGCAGATGATACATGCATAACTTAAAACATGGATGTCCCAAGAGGAGGAACCTAAGACCTCGGTGAAGGAAGCCTCCCTGCAGTTCTCTATGTTGAATTCAAGATTCTTATCCCCATGGCCTACTAGTCTCTTCTCAGTTTAGTACTTTTTTTAAGATAGAAGCTTCCTGCTCTTTTGTGCTTGGCTGACATAAGAGCACATGGGAAGACGCCTGAGGAAGGGGAGAGCCAGCAGAGCTGGCTAGTCTTGCCCCCAGGCTCTGCTTCTACAGGTCTTCTCTGAGCTCCTTTGGTATGATGTTCTCCCCTTGGAGATCCACAGGCCGACAGCAGCACCGCTATGGTTGACCCCCAAATGGGTCTGCATTTTGTGCGGCCTCCTATAGGGGCCTAAGGGCGATTCCTGGACCCTGGTGACTACCACCAGCCATCACCCACCACTTGGCTTGCTCACCCTGACATCCTGCTTTTAATCACAAATGAGGAGTGGCCTCCCCTATAATCCTTTTTCTGTATTTTTTTTTTTTTTTGCGGTATGCGGGCCTCTCACTGTTGTGGCCTCTCCTGTTGCGGAACACAGGCTCTGGACGCACAGGCTCAGCGGCCATGGCTCACGGGCCCAGCCGCTCCGCGGCATGTGGGACCCTCCCGGACCGGGGCACGAACCCAAGTCCCCTGCATTGGCAGGCGGACTCTCAACCACTGGGCCACCAGGGAAGCCCTATAATCCTTTTTCTGATAGTTTGAGATGGATTGTCCCAGAATAGAACTTGCCCAGGTAAGATGTGCTCCAGTGGCAAGAGGCTGTGTTGTCTAGGGTAGCACAGGTCACTTTGGAAACCATAGGGACATACTGCCAGTCACTCTCGACAGGTTCATCACCAGAAGCTCTGCAGCTCAAACCAGACACTATACAGGGGGAAGAGGGGGGTGTCCCATGGCCAGGGCAGATAAAGGGAGACCAATGTTCTCATCATTTACAGGCTACAGGGAATTCTTTCTTGCTCCAAAGTCAAAAGGAACTAGAGATGTCAGTTTTTGTGCAGACTCTTGACCAACCTCAAAGCTGCTCACAAGAAAACTTCTGGTTCCAACTCACAAGCCCCCAGCCTTCAGTTCAACAAATTATGCAGCCGTTAAAATATTTACAAAAACTAGCAATACAGGGACTTCCCTGGTGGCGCAGCGGTTAAGAATCCGCCTGCCGACGTAAGGGACATGGGTTCGAGCCCTGGTCTGGGAAGATCCCACATGCCGCGGAGCAACTAAGCCCGTGCGCCACAACTACTGAGCCTGCATTCTAGAGCCTGCGAGCCACAACTACTGAAGCCCGCACGCCTAGAGCTCCACAATAAGAGAAGGCACCGCGATGAGAAGCCTGTGCACCACAAGGAAGAGTAGCCACCGCTCGCTGCAACTAGAGAAAGCCTGCGTGCAGCAACGAAGACCCAATGCAGCCAAAAACAAAAAAAGTCTCTTTAGATTTTTGGACGGCTTTAGAATCCAAACAATAAAAATAGTTTTAAAATACTAGGCTCCAATCTATTTTTAGGATGCCTGATATTACTGTAAAGCCCTGTTGTTTTCCCAAAGGCTTGCATCAATTTTAAGCACAACAGTCGTACAATTTTAATCACAGCCTTGCCAGCAGAGCTACCGGCAACCCTTTTCCTGATAGTCTAGTAGGCATAAAACCTCAAGTTTGCTTTCAGTTTAAATTTATGTTCTTTAATAATTATTCTGCACGAACATTTTTGATGTGTTTACAGTTTATATTGCATTGTTGGGAAAATCTGTGTTTATATCCTTCCTAACTTATCTACTAGGTTTTCTTATATGATTTAATGAGCTATTTAATTGACTTGATTCCACTGAACATTGGTTTGCTTTTAAAAATGTGTAACTCATGATGCAGTGTGGAATTAGTTTTGGTAAAAGAGGTGGCTATGGACATCATGCCCAAATTGTTATCCACGTATACTAGGAATGTGATTAAATATCTTTTGCTTGATATATTTTGAATAAAAATTTCATTTTAAAAAAATAAATTTATTTTTTATTTTTGGCTGTGTTGGGTCTTCGTTGCTGTGTGCAGGCTTTCTCTAGTTGCGGCGAGTGGGGGCTACTCTTTGTTGGGGTGTGCGGGCTTCTCATTGTGGTGGCTTCTCTTGTTGCAGAGCACAGGCTCTAGGTGCGCAAACTTCAGTAGTTGCAGCACACGGGCTCAGTCGTTGTGGCGCACAGGCTTAGTTGCTCCGCGGCATTTGGGATCTTCCCGGACCAGGGTTTGAACCTGTGTCCCCAGCACTGAGCACTGGCAGGCGGATTCTTAATCACTGTGCCACCAGGGAAGCCCAAGATTTCATTTTTTAAACTTCAGAAACTTAAAAGGAGATCTGAAAAATGTTTATCAAGAGGGGGCATACCTTAGATTGAGAATTTTCTATTTCTTTGGTCTTACTGCATGTAGTTGACTTTGCTTTCTGTTTTTTTTTTTTTTTTTTTTTTTTTTTGCGGTACGCGGGCCTCTCACTGTTGTGGCCTCTCCCGTTGCGGAGCACAGGCTCCGGACGCACAGGCTCAGCGGCCATGGCTCACGGGCCCAGCTGCTCCGCGACATGTGGGATCTTCCCGGACCGGGGCACAAACCCGTGTCCCCTGCATCAGCAGGCGGACTCTCAACCACTTCGCCACCAGGAAAGCCCGTGACTTTGCTTTTTGGAAGTGAGGTACAAAACTAACTTAGAAAATGTAATTAGTAGAAAGTAACACTGGGGGCTTCCCTGGTGGCACAGTGGCTGAGAATCCACCTGCCAATGCAGGGGAGAGGGGTTCAATCCCTGGTCCAGGAAGATCCCACATGCCGCGAAACAATTAAGCCCGTGCACCACAACTACAGAGCCTGAGCTCTAGACCCCGCGAGCCACAACTACTGAAGCCTGCGCGCCTAGAGCCCGTGCTCTGCAACAAGAGAAGCCACTGCAACGAGAAGCCCGCACACCGCAACGAAGAATAGACCCCACTCGCCTCAACTAGAGAAAGCCCATGCACAGCAACGAAGACCCAACAGAGCCAAAGATAAACTTAAAAAAAAAAAAAGTTAACACTGAATTAAATGTGAGAAGACTTGCATTCTAATCCAAAATCTGCCTCAAGCTTGGTATGCTACCCAGGCCTGGTCCTTTAACCTCCCTTTGATGAGTTTTCCCATCTGCTTTAGGATTCTTTACCTTGGTCAGAATCCTCCAGTGATTCCCCATCTCTGGGTGAAAGGCAGTGTATCCTTGCAACTACCTAGTTGAAAGGGTTTAGCCGGTATCCTCTCCCCAAATTCCTTACTATCTTCTCCCATCCCCCTGGGCTCCATGCACAATGACCTTGCAAACACCAGACAAATTCAGCTTCAGGGTCTTTGCACTTAGAGCTCCTCAGTGTGGAATCCCTCTGCCCAAGATATCCGCAGTGCCTTGCCATTCAAGTCTTTACTCAAAAGTCATTTTCTCAGTGAAAATGACACTGAAATGGGAGCACGCTCCCCCCGCCCCCAATAGCCCATTTCACCATCTAACATTGAATTTGTTTGATGTTTCTCTCCTCTACCTGAATGTTAGGTCCTCACTGCAGTTATCCACAGAACCTAAGAACCATGCCTGGCACATAGTGGGCGCTGAGTAAATACTTGTTGAATGGATAATCTAACCTGTAAAACATGTCCATCAAGCTGGATGGATCATCCATCTCTAAAGTGAAGCCATGTGTACCCTCCTTAACTGTGTGCTAACTTTGCGTACTCTCTGTCCCGAGAAGCCCAGAGCTCGACTCCCGGCGTGTACTCACTTTGCAGGAGATCGCGGCGGCCTCTGGGTCTCCTTCCTCGTGGACCAGGTCCAACAGCTGGAAGCCTGCGTCCTCGGCGGCTTCTGGGCTTCCCGGCGCGTCCTCGGACCCCAAGCCGCCCGAAGGAATTCCCGAGGATCGGCGGCTAGAGACTACCCTGTAGCGGCCGTTCTGCCGGATCTCCCGAGCCGACGCACGGAGATGACGGCGGATACGCTGCTGGCTGCCCTGGGACGGGCGCAGGGCGGCTCGCACAAGCGGCTGTACTGGCTCCTCCTGCGGGGAGTGGGGAGGGGGAAAAAGCGGGGGTGTGGGGCGGCATAAGCAGGGGTTCGTGAAAGGGTTAGGGAAAATGATGTGCCCCAGCTGCGCCCTAAGATCCCTTTCACACTGGCTCCCTCCGGCCCTATACCTGGGAGCGCACGGTGGCCACCAAATGGAAGACATTATTTTCTGCTGCTCTCTCCAGATCCTCCGGAGGCGTCTTTTGGGCTCCCGACTCAACTGCGCTGGAGCAGAGGCGTTTACAGGCAAGGACAAGTGCCTCAGCGGGTTCCGCACTGCGTTTCCGCTTCACGCGGAGGACCGCTGTCATGCCGGCCTCCATAGCAGCTATCGTGGAGCACCATGGGAATGCGCGGGGTGCGACGGAAGAGCTTTCCAGTTCTGCTTCCGGGCCCCACCCACGGCCCGCTCAGCGGGCCTAGGGAAGTCCCGCCTTTGAACGCCTGCCGCGGCAAGATGGCGGTGGCGGCGGAAGTGAGTGGAGAGGTTCTCACGGCCGGTGAGGCGCCGGGCTGGTTGGGAAGGTGGGGTCGCGGTTGACGGGTTAGGTGCAGCCAGCATCCTGTGCTCAGCACAAGGCTTCGGCGGAGGAATGTGGCATGGTCGTACTCGGACACTGGGGTACGCATCTCTTCGGGACGCTGGAGGAACTTTCTAGAATCCGTATGGGGCTGCTCAGAGCTCCCGGGCCGGCGGTAGTGCGGCGTTGTAGGCGGTCCCTGGCTCTGCCATCCAGTCGGGTCATTGCTTCTAGCTGGGCCTGTGACTGAGCACCTCCGCCGGGACCTGGATCATAGTACTTGGTGCCTCCCTTCAGCAATAGAGACCCGCGTCGCAATCCTAACGGAGATTCAGCCATCGCGCCCCGACTGGGCCACGGTTCCCTGGCTCACTGGTATTTCCCAGTCACAGTATTCTCAGTAGTTGGAAATCTCGGTAGTTGGAAACCAGTCTATCTACCACACACTGGCCAGAGCGGCCCTGTAAAAGCGTACATCCAACGTAGATATTCTTTTGCTTAAAACCCTTGAGTGGCTTCCAGTGCATTTAGAACAAAATCCAAACACCTTTCCGCAGCCGACATTGCAGAAGCCCACCCCTAGTCGCCAATCATTTCTTCTGCTCAGAGTGCTTCAGTCACTCAGGCTTTTGTCACTCTGCACCTGGTTCTTTACATCTTAGGACCTTTTCTTGGAAAAGTTGGGGTAAGGATTCCTGAAATATGAGCATTGCACTTTCACAGCTTTTAACCTGGGTTATTCTGTAGGCCTCCACTTAGATGCTCTTTTCCTCAGAGAGTCTTTCCATAACTTTGTTATTCTCTTTCATAGCATCCTGTATATTTCCTTTCTTGCCCTCAGGTAGTCTTTAATTGTATATTTATATTTACTCTCTTTCCCCCATTAGGGTCTGTAAATTCCTGGAGGACAAGGACCTCTTCTGTATTGTTTGTGATAGTTCTCTAGTCCTAATACAGTGCCTGGCATACAGAAGGTGCCTAGTAAATTTTGAATAAATGAACCAGACAGGCGTCTGCTCTGAAATCTGACTAGTAAAGCAATTAGGGCTTGGCATGGTGATTTCCATTAACCCTGTGAGTTCCCAGCTCTTGTAGAATGAGGAGGAGGTTAGAGTATCCTGAATCTGGAGTATGGGCTCCTTCTTGGAGAGGACAAGTCTTAATAATACGAAGAGATTCATCCATAGAAGATGTTTAGTGTTCACCCAGAGAGGTTACAGGACAGGGTTCCTGTCCTCAAGCATTTATTTAGACATATGAAACCAGTGACTTCTCTACAGATCTGAAAAGACACTGTGGTCCTAGTTACAGCCTCTGCAACATCATAGGTGAAAAGGGAATTCTATAAATTACAGTTCTTTACTATACTCTTAACCTTTAAGTGACTTTATGGTTGATTCCACGTGGACCACAGGATAAGGGTTTCAGGACTCTTCACAACATGGACCCCACCAACATGTTTGACCGCTTGTTCAGTGAAACTTCAGCTAAATGGATTAGTTCACTGTGTATGATTGTCTAAGCCTTTCTAATCTGGTGAAGTGCTTTCTCCCTCTTCTCACCCACCTAAATCCTACCCATCTTTTAAACTTTTGTCTACTACAGCATTTGTTGGACACGGTTATCTAAAGCATATTACAAATTACGGTAGTTCTAGATACTCTGTCTTTTAATAATAAGTATTAGCAGAGATGTGCAGAGCTGATTGTTGCAGCGCTTTTCAAACTGTAGGATGCAACCCTTTGGTGAGTTATTAAATCAATTTAGTGGATCGTGACCAGCATAAAAAATAAAAATTACATACAGTGGACTATATCAGAGGGTTTTGCCTACAGGAAGACTAGGTATTGTTTCGTGAAACTTTACATGTGTGTGTGTATGTTGTGTCTCAGGGTAAAGCATATTTCTTACTGGGGTTGTCAGAAAGCTTGAGAGCCACTAAATTAGAGATTAGACATGCTGAAGTAGAGTTAGAGGTAGAGTTTTACTGAAGGACAAATTGACTACTTTGAGCCAGTCCAGTGACTGCCTGAGTCTTTTCAGAAAAGATTGTTCTCCATCCTCTAGTATAAGAATTCAGTGTTTACTTAGTTTAGATAACTTCAAAAGAACGTAACTCTTGGCAGTAAAATGCCTTAGGAATGTTTAGGGTCCTGTGGAGTAGGCATTCTTTCTAAGGTTTCCTGATGATGGATCAGTGTTTATCAAGAAATGAAGGGGAGTGTGGAACACTTGCTGTTTTCTGAATGGTAAGAGGGAGGGCACTATGAGAGGCCATATCTGCTGAGAAGTACTTTCAGACTTTGAGCTTTGGTGTTTATCTCTCAGAAATAGATACCTTTGGAGAAACAGACTATATAAGATATGCATCTGGTGACATTTATTTGAAGCCTTTGTTTTTTTTTCAGACGGAGAAAGGTTTTTAAAAATTGTTTTTAAAATTGAATATGGAGTGGATAAGTAAATTGTTTTTAAAATTGAATATGGAGTGGATAAGTAATCATAAAAAATAGTGAGGCATAAAGAATGACAATATCATGGACACCTGTATTCCCACCACCCGGGTTTTTTAATTTTTAATTTTTTAAAAAAAATTTATTTACCTTGGCTGTGTTGGATCTTCGTTGCTCCGTGCGGGCTTTCTGTAGTTGTGGCGAGCAGGGGCTACTCTTCGTTGTGGTGCGCGGGCTTCTCATTGCAGTGGCTTCTCTTGCTGCAGAGCACTGGCTCTAGGCGCGCGGGCTTCGGTAGTTGTGGCACACAGGCTTAGTTGTTCCGCGGCATGTGGGATCTTCCCGGACCAGGGCTTGAACCCGTGTCCCCTGCATTGGGAGGCGGATTCTTAACCACTGCGCCACCAGGGAAGCCCCCACCACCCAGTTTTAGAAAAATAATAATACTGTTACTTTTGAAGTCCCTTGTGTGGCCCTCGTTGATTCCATCCTTTTCCCCTCCCTCTTAGAGGTAACCACTATCCTCATTCCTGCCATGCTTTTTAGTGTGATCCCTGAAGAATATATTGTTCTATGTTGAATAGTTATAAATTTCATATGAATGGAATCATTTGTATTCTGTGATTTGCTTCTTTTTTGGCTCAATGTTATATTCCTGGGATTAGCCATGTTTGCATATAGCTCTGATTTATTTGTTCAGGTGAGGTTTCTTTGTTGGTTTGAATTGCTTTTTCTTTGTATTTTTCCTTAAACTAAGTGTTTACCTTTCTGAGGCAGTATTGGTGATACTCCTTTACCACCACCCCGATCGATCTCTTTGTGTTCTCCTTTCCTTCTAGCCCTTTCCTTTGCATTATTTCTCTTCTTACCTGCCTTCACCTGAGGCTGTACTCAGATGCACCTGTAAGGGTCATTTGACCCTATTGGAATCGTTGAGGACTGCTGAAGTTCCCAGATAGCTTTCTGAGTTTTTGTCTTAATAGTATTTGATGTTATATGCTGAATATAAAACCAAGTAACTCTGCTGGAAAGATTAAAATGCTGATTAACATATTTTCAGTGGCTCTGACATTTTTGTCTATTTCTTGGTTTCTTTTTTTTTCTCCTCTACATTTTTGGGCATTACAATTTGAAGAGATTTCTGACGATCAGACCTGTCTACAAGCAGCTGGCAAGGCTGCCTTTCTATGCTAAAACTGAGGAGCTAATTGGCACCATGAAAGTCTTCTGTGGGCGGGCCAACCCAACCACGGGATCTGTGGAGTGGCTGGAGGAGGATGAGCATTATGATTACCACCAGGAGATCGCAAGGTAACAAGGGTTTTTCCACAGTTGGCTGCAGCTGGGTGGGGCCCTTGATCTCAAAGCAGATGCCTTGGAATCTAGTCTGAGTGGGGAATAGGCTGTCACCCAGTGCTTCTGATCAGGGCAGGTGTTGATCACCAGCAGGTCTGCTCAGCTAGGTAGGTTTGTGTGGGAGTTAGGCAAAGTTATGCCTGTGTGGAGAGTCAGACATTTTGTGGCAGCTGTACCAGAGTCCCCGAGGATCTGTCTTGTGGACCAAAGAGGACTCAAAGTTCAGTAGTAGTAGACGAGTTTATGAAGTTTAATTATTTACTTGCGTCACTGAAATGGTGGCACATTTATCATATAGTTAAATTCTCTTTAATGGAAAAAGTGGGGAAAAAATGAGGTTTTTTTTTTTCCTTTGGAGGGATGTTTAAAAGTATGTAAGTGAGTTACTGTTGTTTAGCAATCATTAAGTGCATATAACACCGTGCTAAGGCTGTGAATATCAAAATGACAGAGATAAGGTTCTCATCCTCAAAGAACATGCAGTTTTGTGGAATAGACAGACATATAAAAAACTATGACACCATGAGATAAAAGTCAGTGGAAATGGGCACAAAAGTACATGGAAGCAGCAAGAACCAACTGGGCTGGGAGGGCGATATTTGAATGATTTCCCAAATCTAAAGAGAGGGAGATTGCTTTCTGAGCAGCAGGGATTATGTGCAAACTTCCAGATGAGCTAGTTTGAGGAATGGCTAGCAAGTCATTGTGGCTGGAGTGTGGTGCAAAATTAGGGCTATAGTGAGAGAGGATGCTGAAAAGGTAGGCAGGGGTCATGTTGTAATTGGTGGTAGCAAAATGCAGGAAGAGGAACCTGATTGTATAAGTTCTAGTTTAGCCACTTCTTAAGCTACTTGACTTCTTAACGTCAAGTAGCTTGACGTTAGCCAAGCTACTAAACTTCTCTGAGGATCAATGTAGTAATATATGCCTCATATACAGTATAACAGTATATACCTCAGTATAACAATATGTATATCTCATCATATAATACCCTTTTCTTAGGGTTATTTGATGAGTGAATGAAGTACAATGTCTGGTACAGAGTAAGGGCTCAAACACATTACTTTCTTTCTAAATATTTTGGACGTTATTTTCTGAGTGATTGAGGTGTTAAATGGGGAAGAAAAAAGATTAGGTTGCATTTTGGAACATTAACCTGAGAGCAGTGTGGAAAGTGGGTTGGAGGGTGTGAAAACCATATGGGCATTTGGGTGGATATTGCAACCCCAAGGCTGAGACAGTGGAGGTGGAGAGAGGAGGAAAAAGCTTTGAGAGAGCTTGAGTTTCGTAACTCATTGGATGCAGTGATGGAAGGAGAGAGAGAAAATGAAGTAAGCACCAAGATTTCTGGTTAGAGTGACTAGGTAGATGGAACTCTTGTTGCTTGAGAAGAACACAGGAGGAATGGGTGTTGTTGGGGTGATGAAGATTAGGTATCTGGCTTTGGACATCCAGATGGAAATGCCACTGGGCAGATAAATATGGGTCTGGAGACAGTTTGCAGTTGTTAGAGTTGAAACTGGAAGAGATTGCAGGGTTTCAGAGATTGTGTAGAATGTGAAAGGTAGAGGACTAGAGAAGGAATTCTGGAATAGCTGACGAGGCAAGACAACCAGGAGGGCATGGCCAGAGAGTAGAAAGGAAGAGAACGTTTCAGGAAGAGGGAGTGTCCAGCAGGGTCAGAGAAATCCTGGATGTTAATGACGTGAGTGAGCTGGTGGTGCTTAGGAAGAGTGATGTCAGTGGAGTCAGGGGAGTGAGTGGGTGGTGAGGCAGGGAAGATGGGGGAGTGAAAATGCCCCTTAAAAGGTGGAGAGGGGCTTCCCTGGTGGCGCAGTGGTTGCGAGTCCGCCTGCCGATGCAGGGGACACTGGTTCGTGCCCCGGTCCGGGAAGGTCCCACATGCCGCGGAGCGGCTGGGCCCGTGAGCCACAGCTGCTGAGCCTGCACGTCCGGAGCCTATGCTCTGCAACGGAAGAGGCCACAGCAGTGGGGGGCCCGCGAACCGAAAAAAAAAAAAAAAAAAAAAAAGGTGGAGAAAAGTAGAAAGGACCAGATTTCAACTAAGCACTCGCAGGTGAGTTCAAATGTTAAAAACCTTGGTATGCCATTAAAAAAAAAAGAAGCCTTTGCATTTGGTGCAGTGTTCCTCAAAATGTAGAGTATGAAATACCTGTGTCACAGTTACCTGGAGCACCAGTTCAAGTGCAGATTTCCAGACTCCAGCTCCATCTTCTAGATCAGAAGCTCTTTGTGTGTATTGTGGGAATCTGCATGTAAAATAAGCTCTTCATTAATTCTGATGTTGACCCAAAGCTGGAGGTCCTCTGTTTAATGAGAGTGCCTTAACTCTCACCTGGAATTCTCAGAAGGCATCTTTGGGCTGAGACTGTTGAGTTCTGGGGGCTTATCCTGACCCTGCCAGAGATTTTTCAAGTTTTTGAATTACTACAATAGAAAATATGGATAAGCAGCTCTCCTCCCTGTAGTTTGGTGAATGCTTCTTCGTTGTCCCTGATGACAACCAAGGGAAAGTGCCAGGCATGATACCCTTCACATATACAGCAGGCATATACTTTCCCTTTCCCCGATTCCTCTCCCCAGTGTTACATCTGTGATCATCCCAATGTACAAATGTATGCAAGATTATGTAAAGTATTGGACACATCTGAGTTGTTCCTGAGGAAAAAATCGTATGATGTACAACATGATCAGTATGCTAGGACTATGGAATTACTGTGACAGGCCTAACTATCAGCATTTTTAGTCTGAGATTCTTTACTGAAAATAAACATCTGTCTCTGAGATTTTTTTCTGCAGTACAGGAGAATGACAGCTTATAGCTCTATTAAAATAGTTTAAAATGGGCCTGGATATTTGTTCCATCTGATAAAAGAATATATTTATATATGTAAATATTCTCATATGTTGATGTTTATCATTATTAGCAGAAGTTTCTGACCTGTCTTTTTATTCTTTTAGGTCATCCTATGCTGATATGCTGCATGACAAAGACAGGGTAAGTATAGAAGGAAACTGTTATCTTGATGTGGTGTTTGAAACCTTCCATTACAAGAAGGTTAAAAACTTCCCCCAGAGGCATGATGTTAGAATGATGCAGAGAGGCAGTACGGTGTAGTGGTTGGGAAATCAGGAAGCTGGGTCCTACTTCCTGCTCTGTTATTGACTTGAGCGTGACCTTGGAGAAAACATGGGACCTCTGCAGACCTCATTTATTAGAATTTACAGTGAGTGGGCCATACTAACTGATTTCCATGATCTCTAGATAAAAATACTTTGATTACACAGTTTTACCTCGTATAGTCAGTTTGTAATTTTAAAATAAAATCTCTAGAGGTCACTGCAGACTGTATTTTGTAAAGCATATTTGGCTTTCACTGCAGAATTACATTTCAGCTTTTGTCCTTTGTTTCATCTGAGTTTTCTTTGTCTGTTTGAGTAAATGTTAACAGTTCTGGTCTTATGATGGCTAGCAACCCAGGATTTCCTTGTCTACCAGAGTGCTTGACTAGTCAGCCTCATCCAGATGGTTCAGAAATTGGGAGGCTTGAAGGAGAAGGATGCAGGGCCACACTTAAAAACTGAGCAGTGCACTGCAGAAAGATCAGGGAACATGGCAGGGCTCGTCATGAGGCTGTGTGGTGTCTCGTTGACCCAGCCCTGGTTAACTGCTCAGCTTGCCTACTTCTTGGTAACACTATGACAGAAGGACCTCCTTCAGCACCATTAGTGTGTAGGCTCCATGGGAGGGGCTAGGTGCCTCTCTAATTTTCGTCAAATATTTGAGTGCCTTTGCTGAGCTGTTGGGGAATTACAGAATGTGGAACAAATATTGTTCCCAGCTTTTGACTAATCCTTTCTAGTTTAATGGTCTTCTTGGACTCGTGGGCCTGTGAGCCTCTCTGATTTTAGTGTCATCTCCAGTGAGGGTCCTTTTTGACCCAGCTTCCAGGGGATTTGGGCAAATGGCATCGTCATCCATCTGGTTAGCCAAGCCAGATGGCGCCCTTTTCCTTATCTGAGCCTGTAGTTGGTTGGTCATCAAATCCTATGGTTCTTTCAACCCCATTGCCTGCTCAGCCGTCATTTACTGGCGTTGGTCCCTCTTCTCCTTCCTCTATACAGCAGCCCAAGGGGTCTTTCTGAAATGCCCATCTGACCATGTTACTCCTCTGTTTAAAACCCTTCAGTGGCCTGTCCCTGCTTTTGAGGTAAAATTCAACCTCCTTGGTGGAACATTCCTGACTCTTCATTATTTACCTCTAACTTCTGTTCTCCCCTCCCCGGTTCTGCACATGAGGAAATGGAGTCAGAAGTTGCTGGTTAGTGGCAGAGTCAATAAAAACATATTTCTCTATGCTTTGGCATGGTGCCTCACATTTTGTTGTTTTATTTTATTTTTTTTTAGTAAGGTTTTATTTATTTATTATTTATTTATTTTTTTGGCTGCGTTGGGTCTTCGTTACTGCGTGCGAGCTTTCTCTACTTGCAGTGAGTGGGGGCTACTCTTTGTTGTGGTGCGCGGGCTTCTTATTGCAGTGGCTTTTCTTATTGTGGAGCACGGGCTCTAGGCGTGCAGGCTCAGTAGTTGTGACATGCAGGCTCGGTAGTTGTGGCTCACAGGCTCTATAGCACAGGCTCAGTAGTTGTGGCGCACGGGTTAGTTGCCCCGTGGCATGTGGGATCTTCCTGGACCAGGACTAGAACCCATGTCCCCTGCATTAACACGCAGATTCCTAACCACTGTGCCACCAGGGGAGTCCTGTTGTTGTTTTAAAACACTTCCATTATCCCATAAAATTATTTCCTGTTTGTTTGTAATCAATCCTGGTACCCAACTCCCTGGTTGCCCCTGCCTGCCAGGCAACCACTGATAGGTTTTCTGTCTCTATAGTTTTGCCTTTTCTAGAAATTTCATCTAAATGGAATGATATGATACATAGTCTTATGTGTCTTTGTCCCTTCATTCATCATTTGAGGGTCATTCATGTTGAATGTGTCAATATCCATTTCTTTTTTTTTTTTTTGGCCATGTTATGTAGCATGTGGGATCTTAGTTCCCCGATTGAACCCATGCCCCCTGCATTGGGAGCACAGAGTATTAACCATTGGACCTCCAGGGAAGTCCCAATATCCATTCCTTTTTATTGCTGAGTAATACTCCATTATATGGATATACCATGTTTTATCCTTTTACCAATTAACAGACATTTGGATTGTTTCCAGTTTTTGTGTATTTTGAATAGTTTTGTTGTGAACGTTCACATATAAGCCTTTGTGTGGACATGTTTTCATTTCTTTCAGAAAATGTATAAGAGGGACTTCCCTGGTGGTGCAGTGGTTAAGAGTCTGCCTACCAGTGCAGGGGACACGGGTTTGAGCCCTGGTCTGGGAAGATCCCACATGCCGCGGAGCAGCTAAGCCCGTGCGCCACAACTACTGAGCCTGCGCTCTAGAGCCCACGTGCCACAACTACTGAGCCCAAGTGCCGCAACTACTGAAGCCCGTGCGCCTAGAGCCCATGCTCCGTGACAAGAGAAACCACCGTAGTGAGAAGCCCGTGAATCGCAACAAAGAGTAGCCCCCGCTCGCCGTGACTAGAGAAAGAGCACGCACAGTGACGAAGACCCAAGGCAGCCAAAAATAAATAAATAAATTTTAAAAAAAAACAACTACAAAGTTAAATAATGTACACTTAACATATAGACCCAGCAGTTCTACTTTTTTTTTTTTTTTTTTTTTTTGCGGTACGCGGGCCTCTCACTGTTGTGGCCTCTCCTGTTGCGGAGCACAGGCTCCGGACGTGCAGGCTCAGCGGCCGTGGCTCACGGGCCCAGCCGCTCCGCGGCATGTGGGATCTTCCTGGACCGGGGCATGAACCCGTGTCTTCTGCATCGTCAGGCGGACTCTCAACCACTGCGCCACCAGGGAAGCCCTCTTATACATTTTTAAAATTTTTATTTATTTATTTATTTTTGGCTACCTTGGGTCTTCGTTGCTGCACGCGGGCTTTCTCTAGTTGTGGTGAGTGGGAGCTACTCTTCATTGCGGTGCCCGAGCTCTGGGTGCATGGGCTCAGTAGTTGTGGCACATGGGCTCTAGAGCGCAGGCTCAGTAGTTGTGGCGCATGGGCTTAGCTGCTCCGCAGCATGTGGGATCTTCCTGGACCAGGGCTCAAACTCGTGTCCCCTGCATTGGCAGACAGACTCTTAACCACTGTGCCACCAGGGAAGTCCCTATCTTTGTAGTTTTAATTTCCATTTTTTCTAATGGCTAATGATGTCAAACATCGTTTCATGTGCTTATTTGCTATCCGAATACCTTTTGGTGTGGTCTAGGGTTTTGAACATTAGGTAGGACTCTTGATAGATACTACCAATTGCCTTTTAAGAGGGCTCCAATAGTAGCTTTAAAGTTGGATAATTAATTTTATTTATTTTATATACAGCAGGTTCTTATTAGCTATCTATTTTATACATATTAGTGTATACATGTCAATCCCCGTCTCCCAATTCATCCCCACACCCAGCCCCCCGCCGCTTGCCCCTCTTGGTGTCCATATGTTTGTTCTCTACATCTGTGTCTCTGTTTCTGCCCTGCAAACCGGTTCATCTGCACCATTTTTCTAGATTCAAAGTTGGATAATTAAAAAGTGATAGCTAGGGCTTCCCTGGTGGTGCCGTGGTTGAGAGTCCGCCTGCCGATGCAGGGGACACGGGTTCGTGCCCCGGTCCGGGAGGATCCCGCGTGCTGCCGAGCGGCTGGGCCCGTGAGCTGTGGCCGCTGGGCCTGCGCGTCCGGAGCCTGTGCTCCGCAACGGGAGAGGCTGCAGCAGTGAGAGGTCCGCGTACAGCAAAAAAAAAAAAAAAAAAAAAAAAAAAAGTGATAGCTAATTTAATGAGTGTTATTAATTTGGAACATATGCAGGCCCTGGTTTACTGTTGAGGGTGCTGCTAATTAGGGTTCTCAGGTGATCAGCTCCTGCTTTTTGGGGATATAGTGTATTTGATGTTCATTTTCCTAGTTCAACAATTCTAACAATTGCCATCCTGATTTTTTTAACTTTTTTTTCCTTTCATCGTGGTAAAAAGCACATAACATAAAATGACATACTGATTTTATCCAAAGCATAAATGCAGTTACTTTAGGAGTCAAATATTTCCGTGAGGCTTATTGTGAAAAATAGCAGTCCCAGGGCTTCCCTGGTGGTGCAGTGGTTAAGAATCCGCCTGCCAATGCAGGGGACACAGGTTTGTGCCCTGGTCCGGGGAAGATCCCATATGCCGCGGAGCAACTAAGCCTGTGCGCCACAACTGCTGAGCCCATGTGCAACAACTACTGGAGCCTGTGCGCCTAGAGCCTGTGCGCCACAGCAAGAGAAGCTACCACAATGAGAAGCCCGCGCTCTGCAACGAAGAGTAGCCCCCGCTTGCTGCAATTAGAGAAAGCCTGCGTGCAGCAGGAAAGACCCAGCACAGCCAAAATATAAATAAATAAAAAATAAATAATTTCTAATAAATAAATAAAATAAAATTGGGTAGACAGAATACACACACACATACAAAAACATGCTGTTTAAAAAAAAAAGAAAAAAAGGGACTTCCCTGGTGGCGCAGTGGTTAAGAACTCGCCTGCCAATGCAGGGGACACAGGTTCGAGCCCTGGTCCGGGAAGATCTCACATACCGCGGAGCAGCTAAGACCATGAGCTACAACTACTGAGCCTGCACTCTAGAGCCCACGAGCCACAACTACTAAAGCCCGTGCGTCTAGAGCTCGTGCTCCACAACAAGAGAAGCCACTGCAATGATAAGCCCGGGCACTACAACGAAGAGTAGCCCCCGCTCACTGCAACTAGAGAAAGCCCACGCTCAGCAACAAAGACCCAACGCAGCCAAAGATAAATAAATAAATAAATATATTTATTAAAAAATAAATAAAGAAGCAGTACCCTGGTGTATCATCCCCCAGACAGTACCTTTTAATAGTTACCTTCAGA